GTAGATAATGCAATTTCGCTAAGCCATTGTAACACAAGAGTACACAGCTAACTCCAAATGTAGTTCCTAATTTACAGGGGACTCAGTTCATCAGTTAAATGAAAGCATCAAGAACAGGGCTTATGTCACGAAACTTACTTGGGGCTCACCGATGGACAGTTAAAGTCCTCGCCGACATTCAATTGGCCAAAAATAACAGTAGTGAGGATGTTTTAATCCAAACCTCGTTCGCGTGTAAACGTGATAGCGTCCCGCGAAAGCCTGTCTCCGTCTGATGCGCACTCCTCCCTCGCTTTAGGGACTCCGTCAGCTCGGACAATGTGGTTCCACTATAGTCCGAGTTTCATGTAGCCAATAGGTACACGAGACTTGCTAAGACTGTGCGTTTATTGGCTGCCCTGTTGACAGCCAGTCAACAGGCTCCTTCTATCGACCTAGATGCGCACTTGCGCTGCGCGCAGACACGGGGACGATAAAATAATTTATGTGCACGCTCACGGCCGCGCGGCGGTGTTCCGTCTTGCTACAGCATACGTTTATGCGAGGGTGGGGGTTTTTGAGATTCTTAGTCCCCTTCCACTCTCGATTTGAATTCGTCAAAGGTTCTAAACAGCTACGGCTCATTAAAGCGTGTAGACATTAGCTGTAGAAAATTCACAGCCTTGAATTCCAAGTAGGGCATTCATTCAATACCTAGTCTGCTGTGTATAACTACTAATCAGTCCCTTAGACATAATAGCGAGAATTTGTTCGCACAGTATTCTGATGCTGCTCATTTTAATTACTCCTTTTCTAATTTTTACTACGACCCGTAATATTGCCGAAAACAAGATGCATTTTTGTGATGATAAGTTCGTGGCATAGCACCAGCTCGTTCTAACTCGCGACAAGTTGCAACATAGACTGAGAATCGACGACAGTGATACTGGTCCTGTGACTGAATTGCCTGGGTGGATAGTGTGGAATCCATGCATGTACATACATGCCATCAAGTTTGTCCAACACACCGACAAGATGGTTTTACTCTCTTTAAGGGAGTTGCGAGTGGAAAAGAAACTCATTTTAGTAGTAGTTTGCTTTAGAACACCATACATTTCGTGGCTACAAGTATAAAGCGACACACATATCTGTTTGTGAATAATTGATGACTATTCAAAGATTGGCGATTGGGTAAAAGTCTATCAAAGGCTAGAAATATTGCACATTTGCAAAATATGGGTATGTTACATAAATCGTTTTACCCGAAATAGTCAGCTCTTTTTTCTTGTTTGACAGTTTTTAACGTCAATGGTAACATCAACAGAACAATGTAACATTTGGTAAATCATCAACAGAAGAAGGAAATCCAACGTAGCGATTAATTGGCATTTTTCTATTACTCATTGGTGTAGAGATCTCCAGGGCGTAATTGGAAAATCACAGCCAGTGAGATTTAGGAAGCCAAGCAAACTATCTTTGGAGTAAAGAACTGAGTACATCCTGGCCTCTTTCGTCATCATGTGAAATTACTTCTATTAAAAAGCAGCTTTGGGCATCTACGGTCGTAAATCATTAAGTAGCGCAATTTTACCCCTCACCTGAAACACGCCCTGGAAACTAATAAACGAAGCCTCTGTTTAGCACAAACCCTACTCCCCCGGTGCTGCGACATAGGCATGCCCTCGCTTAGCGAGCTACTACTGTCCCAGGCAAAGCCCAAATGCGCCCACTTATATACATGTGTCCCTTTGGCGACCTTGGCCCAAAATATGTGTCAAGATGATTAAACATTGGTGGCAGCTGTCGATGGGTGACCTTGGACCTGGTGAGACCAAATGAAGCAGTGCAGTTAGGGTAATTATGCAAGCAACTGCAAAATCCTAAACCGAAGTGCTACCCCTGACTGCCAACAACTATTTAGAAAGTTCCAGTCTGATTTTCATTCCACCAATTTGGTGAGCAACGATTTGCATTTAGCTTGCTCTTTATCATGAGTAGTCATTGTGTACAAACATTTTACTCTTAATCACTATCTTTAGTCGCCTGCTTTACAGCAAATATAACTACCGTTGCACCATTATGCGTTAAAACTCTGTTAAATTTAAATTACAAATCAAGCAATGTTTTCTCAAAAATGTGAGATAATCAAGTTTGCAAATGCAGTTTTATAAAAGCTCTCAGGACAAGCTAATTAAATCCCAAGGTTACGTAGAACTTGCTTAGCACTACGAAGTGTTTTCTTCTCAGATTCGTTTTGCTAAATTTTATTTGCAGAATCTAGTATAAAACCCCTGTGACCGAAACGGAACTATAAGTTTGATATTCTGTGCATGGGTTGCATATCTTTGTACCAATTTGGCCTCTGCACTGATTAGCCCATATACCGTTGTTAGTTAACTATCTAAAAAGTGATTTTTCTGATCTAACTGATTCTCGAAAGCACGTGTCTTCTCCGGAGCCTTTGATATTTTGGACCTTGAAGTTAACGATGATTGGTTCCATGCTAGTAGGCAGTGTGATGTAGCTAGAGTTCTCTGTCTATTTTTAAACCCATGTCCAGGCATTGGGTGCCACCATTTTTAAAGATTCTCGTCTAGCTTTAACATTTGTTGCTTAACTAAATTACGGCGTCTGTTTCAAGGGTTTTGCTGTAGTCACCAAACAAATTATAAAATTTTTGCGGGTGGAAGTAGCTGGTGACAATTTCCCCATCAAAACCGTAATTCCTGCAGATGGCGTTATTTTACAATGTAAGACATTTTACTTTGGTACATTTGGCATTTTAAAAGTAACATTATTATTTATGATACTTGGCGTTATGCAAAAACAATTACATTTTGTTAAAATGCGGTGCCTGTCCCAACTCTCCGGCTGGGAAATAAAATGAGGCGAGTTATTCGATTTGAAGACTGCTAGAATACTACTTACTTTAAAGCCTTAACAGTATGCTGGGTAGCCACATCAATTTATTTGGCAAAAATTATCTTTTGACAAAATCCTTTAGCCGCATGTCCAAACACTTATGCCGAACTTCAGAATTCGAGGCAAGTTTATTCATGTGACCTTTAGGCAGACTGCTAATTTCAGAACAGTCATGTACCTAGTCCTGAGTGCTATGGCAAATTCTCATAGCCTCAGGTATTCATCCTACCACCTCTTTTGTTGACACGTGATGGTTAACATGAGTCAGCAGTCATAAGCCTTCGCACTAATATCAAAACAGTTTTATTCAGGCAACCTTCAGCCCATTTAGACAACCGCCTAAACACCTACCTGGGCTGCTGCTGCTGCTGCCATAAGTAAGCATTCTCTAGGTATCCGACGGGTCTGAAGTCCCCCGTATGAAAATTCCGCGTTTACGTAAATAGGGAACCTTGGATTTTTTGCTGAGCTTCCCCTAAGGGTCTGTGCTTCGAGGCGATCTCACATCCTTCAAAGTCTTCCTACAGTAGCTGACCTAGCTCTAGAGACTCAGATTATCTGTGCTCCTTTCGGTGAAATCGCGATAGAACGTAAATGTAACTATTATACCCGTTCACTCACGTTGCAACAGCTGCTATGGTAATATAAGTGAATTTTAGAAATCACAGACTTTAAGCTTTTGACCGACTTTGCCGACCAAAACTAAGGTCATGTTGTCATTATTTTTCCCTTCTTGAGAAGTAGCTTGAAACCCTTTAACAGAAAGAAATAGCAGTTATGTCTGCATGCAATTCGTAATGTACATAGATTTCATCAAACTCCATCAGCATTTACGGGGCAGGTTTTTAATGGATTAAGGCTGACGCATAAAATAGTCATGCCCCGTAGTCTATTTCCATGAGTAAACACAATTCATAACTTATAAAAGCAAAGTCCGACTTTATAAAATAAAAAAAAACTCGAAGCGTAAAAATTCAACGACTTTTCCATAATCTGGCTTAGCTTTCCGATATTTCGGGACTATGAACACAGTTTTGGAAATGTAAAAATCTTCCTTTTTTGTCGTTTTACAACGAGTGTGCATCACTAGGGATGCATAATACGCCAATAACATCTTTGAAAATTATGGAGTCATGCAAAGGCCAAATTTACACCCAAAGTGCATCAGCCTGTGCCTATTGCTATTTTGCTTTATGACAAATGGGAAACATGCCTTTCCTTAATGATTGCCTTTTTAGCCAACTCGCTGTAAAGCCTAGATTGAAGCATTGTAAAATTGTGAGCATTCGATTATTGTTGCTTTAGACCAAAAGGCCCAATAAAAGCCCAAGTGTTTCAATTCATGCATTGGCTTCCAGTTGGCATGAAAATCCCTCCCTTATTTTGTGGCATAAATTTTTACCTAATGATACGCCATGAGGCTACTGCAAAATAAGAGTACATATATTTTCATTTAAATGAAGCATTTGCGACCGGTCTCTTTGGCTAGACTTCCTTGCCATATTTATGATGGTTTCCCGTCCATGAATAGTTCCCCAGTGCCTTTAACAAAGCTAGCAATCTGTTTATCTTTAACAAAAATCAAGTCAAAACAATACGTGGGGTTTCAAATGCTTAACACCTTTATCGTATTTATCTGCAATTTAAAACAGTAAAAGAAACGTAAGTAATTGTGAAGATTGCGTTGACCACGACACCAGCAAGACGTTTCGATGTCAGACGATCAAATGGTTGATTCGAATGGAACTTGATTCCCACTTAACGCACAAGAACAGCTTGAACGCCAATTTAATAGGTTCTATTAAAGAATTAAAGCACAAAATCTGGTCTGTCTTCTTTTTTTTCATTCGACCCCTTGATAGGTGCTGAGTGGGGATGTAAAATCATGTAAGAAGATTATGGTTAACTTCGACCATTTGATTCAGGTCGCAACACATACATCAAACGGCTTACTGACTGATTTGACAGAAAATGGGATCATAGTATAACAGGCCTTTGGGCAATGTAAATTTCTCCACTATTTTCAATTTGCCGACAGCATGACTGTGAAACAAAAGTGCCTCGACGACTGTAGCAGCAGCGGCAGCAGTAGTAGCTTATTAAATGAACGCGTCGATCGAGGTGAAGTGAAATCTCTGCTCGTCGTCCATGATTAATTCATCAACTGAAAAATTTAAATCGGGTACCTCACTGTTAGAGTTAGAGGTAGTTTCCCGTATCCCAGGAGATGCCGAAGGATTCTCAGCGTCGTTCGCCAAATCGAAGTGGTTCGGTAAAGGTAGGAGGGAGGGCGGAAAGTTCACTTGATCACGAAGAGTGCTCTCAGGTGCATGTAGGATCTGGGTGATTGGAGCTTTGCCTACCTCGTTTTGATGTTGTTGAACTGCTGTTTGACAACGGCGGAGTCTTTCGGTCAGATTTAATTGATGTTGATTGTTTGTTAAAAGATGTGGGTAGGCATTCATTGGATCGAACGCCCTCTCCATTGACATGTATTGATTATTAAAAAAGGAATATTCTGTTGAATCATGGCCGGGTTGAAAATTAGCACATCGGCTTGACGTAATTGCCATATCGCCCTGATCACGATTGAAAATTAGTCCATCCTTCTTCTCAAACAATTCTGTACCTACAATGTGACAGTATACGCTTCATGAATCTGAGTACACGAATTTGATAGAAGTACTTAGGTAATTCTTAAGCCGACGAGGAATTATCACGCATTTCTTGACTTGATCCGTCGGAGATAAAAAAAAAAATGAAATGTCTACACTTGCTGTACAGTGCCTAGATTTGTGGTTCACATCATAAAGGCTTCTGACGATCGTCTTAACAATTTTAAGCAAGTCATATAGTTTATGAAAACAGAAAATTGCACAAAATAAGTCATTTTCAAGTGCAGAAATCTGAAACAAAAGAAGGTAAGTAGTTAATTGTAATGCAGAAGAGTTATGTGCGTGAAAATCGACTCTCAAAATAACCTGTTGAGGCAAAGATATTGAACTCTGCAAGATCACCTAAAGTTGAAGAACTAGCTCGACTATAGGAGACTAAGTTGACAAAAATCTACAAGGCACGTTAAGTAAGGTAAAATCGATTACCAGTAAAAGCTGATAAAATTTGTACTCTCAAAGTAGAAATCATGATGGGTCATGGATAAACAACAGAGGTAAGAAAGTTCATTAAATCCGCCAAAATATTGACAGTCTCAATGGGACCACTCATATTCAGGATCCGCATAGTGATGTAACGCCTCGTCGGTTACTTGATAAGGTAGAAGCCAGTAATATTAAATGGCTAGTTTTAAATATGTTAAAGTTTCGTATTCCATAAATTTGAGCATGGGAGGACAAAAATACCATCAGAGAAATCGATTTCGGTAAATAACGTAGAAAAATCTCATAACGAGTTCACCCCATTTAATGTTCACTTAAAGATGGTTAGGGCTGTCATTTTAGGGATTTACTCTAGTCCATGATACCACTCGGCAGAAAGCGCCGGGATTCGGATTGCAGCCGTCCACCAAGGGGACGTATCAGAACACAACAGTTAAATAGGTTAGGATTTACTAAACAATTTGTCGGATGCCCACTCAATTTTCGAAATATTTTCTAAGTGGGTGAGTTAATATTTGGAACCTCGACAAGCTTGGGAAAGGAAAGTTGTCCTTGATCCACAAATATCCACACAAGATGACGAAAACTTTACTTGCGCTAAAGCGTTGGCAACGTCTTGTGTTTTGAATAGTCATTAAGTTGATCAAGCCACTGATTTTTAGGTTGCGTAGTGGCTGACCAAACGGCGCGGGGTATGGCAACGCCGCAAGCTTTGGGAGCGCCACTTTTTCAGATCCCACTAAAATACCTCTGATGTGGCCATAATCGAAAAGGTAGTCCGGATTTTGTGGGGCACGGGCTAAAGCGGTAAACCTCGCAGCCCTTTTATGGAAAAACATAATTATACTGATAAAGCATTCGTTTAAAAAACCTGCACTTCTATCGATTTTTAAATAAATTCTCTGATTGTCAAAGCTGAGATACCATCAATTAAAGAAAGAGTGAATCAGGTTACTTAGAGGTCATGGAACATAAGTCGCATCCCAATAAAGTTTTACTACGATCAACTCACTTTACTTCGGATTCCCAATCCACAGTACAGCCCAATTTAGTTTTCTAAATCCAATGGCCTTAGAAGAAATAGATTTTCGATCATTGATTTTCGAATGCACGCTACATTTCTCAATTTCCAACTATTATTAGTAGAGTTTGTGTTTGAGTGTTGCATTTTTAAGTGAGAAGAAGTGATTTAATTTATCAATTGAATTTTTTACTTATTTAGGAATTTCGGCCCAAACTTGGCATTTCCAAGGTACGAATTTTGACCACAGAAGGTGTGATTGTGATGAATGGAATCCAAGGCCACATAGTAGATAACGACCTTGTCACTCGCCCAATTAACACAGCTCATTAGCTTTGAAGGGCGTAGTAAGTTTGAACACTGCTCTGAGGAAGATGCCTATGCCGGGGCTTAACGAATATGCTCGAAAAGACAAAAAAATTTGAATGCCAATGGAACTGTCGGTACCAAAATTTTATACCACAAAAATGAACCGTTGAAATTTATGATGATGTTTTGTCACGAGGCTGATTTCAAGTTAATGTGTTACCACAAATTGATGTAGCAGAAGAGGTGAAGCACTTAGGTACTTTAAAAGAAATACCCTGAGTGATTGAAAGTACTAGTGTATTTAGGGCGCCTAATTCATCAGAAAGGGCCTTACCTAAGGCATCACCAAATGGTGCTGGATTGAGCCGGCCACCAAGAGTTTGGTTTATCAGAGTTTCATCGAATTTGGATCCAGTGTTGAGCAGCCCGTTACTAAGAGTGGATGCTGACATATTAAAAGGCTGCGAGCATCTTGAGTTAGCGTAAAGGCGCATCTCTTCTGCCTGTTGTTGTTGCTGCTGCTGCCTCTGCTGAAGTGTCAATGAGTCTGTCCAAATATTTCGCTGATTTTGGTTTGTACTGTTCGTATGATGTTGAATGTGAGGTTTTAGAATAAGACTGTTAGGTAGGAGCTGACTGTTTAATTGAATATTAAAATTTTTTGGATCGTTCGGAATGTAGCATTGCTAAAATATACAAGAGCAAGTTACAAATGTGTTTCGCATGATTCTGGATCCAAAAGTGCTTAAAGTATTTAAAAAAACATACATCAATCATATTTTGAATGGAGATGGAGGAGGGTTGACGATGGAACTCATAATGCTTCAGAGAATTTACTTCTGCCAAAATTCTTGGGAGACCATCAGCACTTTTATCCGACTGCCTGTGGAAATACAAGTGCATTAGAGGCGGATAGGTCCAAGAAAGCTCTATGTACAAGACGTAATGAGTCTTGTCACCTCGAAATACTTTGTTAGTCTGCGATTGTTTTCAATAATTTCACTTATTTCACGGACGTGTTGAGTTGGTCACAGTAGTTCAATTCATAGACCTTGTCTAGTCGTTTGTTACAGTTTTCATTTCACTCTCCACAAGTAATCGAAAGCAAAGGAAATGTGATATGAAGCGGTGAATGTGCAGCACCCATAAATTCAAATGTCAATAAAGGGCATATGTAACTGTTCATGTCTGCCTGGAATTATCCTCACTAAGTTCCTTTAATTCCAAATACCCCATTATGGTCAAATCAAATCGACCACAAACACCGCTTTAAACTTACTTTTGGCAAGAAAATATGTCACCTTGATGTTGCCCTATAGTTGGTTGGTGCCTTTTCATGGATTGAACTCCAGCAGGAACCTGTGATGCCTGTTGTTGGCACACACCACCATTTCTTGACTGATTGAGAATGCGCGATATGGCCAATGCTTCGCGGATTCTGCATTCACTCTGGTTCTGTGTTATGAAATTCCGAAGTGCTGCCAGTGAGTCGCTCTCAGAGCCAGTGGAGGTCCTTCGCCCATCTGTTTTACTCATAAGAGCATTGAGTAGCAGCTGCTGCTGCTGTTGTTGCTGCTGAGGTTGGTGTTGGAATAGTAGATTGCGGGGGTTGTACGTATCGTGGCTCTGATTTAAAGCAGGAAGATTGGGTCTGAGAAGGCTGATTAAGCCGGTCTGGTCGAAGGCTAGACCCGTTGGTACCGGGTGGTGGGCCACGCGTTGGGCAGCACGAAGGCTTTCACTTTTATCAGCCGGCTTTGCCCAACTCACCTCAATGCGCGAACCATCCAGGTAGTAGCCTTAGAGAAATAACCAACAGAAACATTCAAACATTAACTATTTGAGGCTTGCTTTTCTATAAGGAGATTCCTAAACAAAGGTAAGAATAAGATTGTATTCCTGTTTTCAAATCCATTGCTTGCAATATAAATTGCGACGCCTCTACACTTGAGCAAATCTATGACTCTTGGATTTAGATATAAGGTCATTTAGTGTGATGCAATCTGTCATATTCAAAAACTTCTTGGTACTGAGATAGGTAAATACTGATTCCTTGTTAAGTAAAATGGACTAAATGTAGACTTATTCTAACGTTTCAAAGCAACATTGCAACAGAAAATACCACTATTATGGCCACGAGTAGTGCCTTCACTTTCATAAGGACCTACCCCACTCAGTTATTATAACGGAACACCTTAAGCGTCTTTTTGATAAAGCTGCCTCATCGGCACCTACTTTAATTTACTTCAGGACCAACCCAAATGACCAAAAACGAGTAAAGCAAATTAACCAGTTTCTTCCAATTTAGTTGTGTAATGCATCCATGTAAAATTAGTTCCTCGAACATCACCTGAAACCCAGAGGTTAAAGTCAAGCTATTTGCCATAAGGCACCACGGACTATTCCTTTGGCTTTTGAATTTCGACAAGTGTTTGAAGTAAGTTAAAGCCTTTTATAATAAGATCTTTGTCAATACATAGCGTTGTCTAAATAACTAATTCAGTCTTTAAACCGACTTCATTAAATGAAAGTACAAGGAACTCGACCTACCGTCCATGATGGCAAGGGCGTTTGCAGCAAAAATTCGATCAGTGAAATGAATAAAGGCGTAATCTTTCATTTTTTTGACACGTTCAACGGCACTTTTAAAGCCCGCAGCAAGATTAAACTGATCCCTCAGTGTCTCCTCTGTTGTGTGCAGCATGAGGTTTCGAACGTAAAGAATTCTGACCTAAAGTATGATAAAATGAATTAAACATTGGGTTTTGTTATTACCTTACCTGTAACAATGTAGGCGGCTATTTTAATGTAAACATAGTCTGAAGTGAGTAAAAACGACATAAACTGATCTTACATTTCATCTGTGGATAGTACTCCGATTCAAAAGGTTGATTTTGATAAGCGTTACGGTTTGTTCAAAAAACCTGCATTTATTTAAATTGACCAATAGTTTAAAAACACTGTGTTAGGCAAAACCAATTTTCATAAATTGGTTACTGCCCGGGCAGAAAAAGATGATAATCTGTTAGTTCAAGATTTGTTGTATTCGTCAGATGAAGCGAAATTTCTCAGGCAAAACCCTTTTTTATGTGTTTTGTGTTGCTAGTTATTGAGCTCTGTCATTGAAAGGGCAAAACACTTATTATTTGCCAATACTGGATGTCTGCTTTGGTTTCTGTCAGCAAAGATTCTCCATGTTTGAGAAGTTCTGATTACAGGACCCCTTCGCAACCTCATTGTAAAACTCGTAGCAAATCAAGCATGCTGCTGTTAAAACAAGCTGTAAATGAAAAACGTCTTTCACATAAGACATTGCACAAGGCCCAATTATGTTTTTAGAAGACAAACAACCAAGACGAGATTCAGCCTTGAAAAGAGAAAAATTTGCAGACCTACAGTGTTTCCCGTTACATTCATGGAGTGTAGAAAGAGAAGTCGATTTTTTAAATTCAAAAATACAAAGCCCTTTTCAGTAACCTTTTTATGAACCTGTCGCCATGAGCTATGTTGACCAGTGAAGCCTAATTGTGTTTTTAACATGTTATCTTCATCGAGTCACGCATTTAGATTTCATACTTCACATAAACTATACTCATGTTATTTTCATCTTTCTATTTTGAACCCACCTGCCCCACGACGTAACAAATGAACCTTTTATGTCATGGTTACTGCTCATAAATAATCAAAATTCTCATAAATAAAGAAACTAACTGTTCATGGAACGAGCTCCCGCATCTAAGCTAGGAACCGTACTACATTTATTGTTTATGAGAAGATAATTTACAAAGTACATTCGTAGTTATTATTGAATCACTTCTGATATGAAACTTTTAGTTTTCTGCAGAAAAAAATTCCATTTCGTAATGAGTTTAGCACAAATTGCGGGTGCATACTTATTAAATTCGGGATTAGGTGTTGTCGGCATGCCCTCTTTGACCCATTATTAGAAGTTTTATTTACTTACGACCAAAGAAATGAATTTACTTAACCTAGCAAAGCAATGCCTAGTGAGGTTTAAGAGAGAAGTAAAAGGCCAACAAGTGGTAAGCATGCCTTTGACATGACGTCTTCATCCACCTCCCTTTCGGGTTCTGCCCAATCTACCGCTACTTGATGACCCCACAGATGTATTCTCCCAGGTATCAACTTTCTCCTAGCCATCGCCGCAGCTTTGTGGTTTTCATACTCCACAAACGCAAAGCCCCGGTTTTTCGTTTTATCCACCACACTGGGATAGACGATGACATCCTTTACACCGTCAGTCACTTTTGTCATCTCGAGAAGTATCTCATCCTTTGTCTTTGTTTTTGGAATTCCGCCGACAAAAAGACGGCAGTTGTCAACAGACAAACAGACTCCCAAAGCCTTGGACTTGCGAATTTCATATGCGTCGAGTTTTTGCACAGCTTTTCTGGTGTCTTCCCTATTTGTGTAAATGCAGAAACCGTAGCCACGATTGCATCCACTGAAGTCCATCATGAGACGGAACATGTAGACTTTGCCAACACTCTCAAAAACAGGCACTAGCTCATCCTCAAAACAGTCTCGTGGAATCTTGCCAATGAATATTTCGCAGCCACGAGCAGGGGCAGGACCAACCCAATCGGGGGGTGGGCCGTAGCGTCGTTGACCATTTTCCTGCATAATCGGGTAACGAGTTCGTTCTATTAAACGGACGAGAGCTTCCTCACGAGAGAGCACCACTGTATTCTTATTCTTTTGCTGTGGTTGGATAGGCAGAAGAGGAGGTTTGATTGAAGGCATTAGAGTATTTGGAGGACCTACATATTCTGCATTAGATACTGGTTTTGTTTCGTCATTTTGTCTCTTCGCAGACTGAGTAGTAGTGACGGATAAACTTGGGCTTATGTCTTGCGTATGGGACTCCTCATTTATCTCGCTACTTTGGTCGGATTCATCCGATGTATCATAGGTGTCCAACAAACTACACGAAAAAAAGATTTTATAATTATAGCTTATAAACATGACGTGGCAATAATTATTGTAACAGGAGACTCAATTTTAAGGCAGTGATTCAATATATTTTGATTTCGCAATTCAATTAAGTATTTGGAATGACAATAAAAGTAGAGCTTGCGACTATCACCTTTCATTTATCTAATTTTCCATTGGTTTATTTTCCCAGGCAGCAAAACTCTGAGTGGATTTTGCGCCAGGTAAATTACGCGAAAATGGAAAGGCGACGATTGGACTGTTGCAGTATTTGGTCCCTTTCCTGACTGGTTGTATTGGCAATCGTTTTCCGGTCAATTAGAAGGGTGTAATCTGACAAAGAGCGACTGTCATAGATGACTAGGAAACACCACAGACTCTTGACGATATTCGTCTAATTTGAATTGCCATGTTTTGTGTTTTAGTGAGAAAATCAATGGTGGCAATAGTTCTCAACTGTCATTTGGTCAACGGTGCAAACAAATCACTTTATCAAAATCACTCCATGACCTAAGTAGCTGGTGTTTCTTAGGTAGTAAGTGCCATGCATAGATTTAGGATTTAACGCAGTAACTTCCATTTTGCTATATTTGTTTAAAGAAATTTACCTAACTCTAGTTTTTTTATCTGTATATTTGGCATACATCATATTTAAAATTCAAAACCTTGTAATGCATTTTAATTTTTAGTGAAGCTACTTGGTAAAATGCAACTTTCTGTTTGCGAGAACATGACTGAAATGGATTATAATACACTTTTGAGGTGATTCCGCGAGATAGCTTTCCAACGGCCACATAAATTAATGTAGGCTTTTTGAGTGACTGTTAGAATTCCATGCTTTGTTTGCTGTGAACTAGTTGTCTCAAAAAACTTGAAACAAGGTTGAATTCGGAACTCACGTAATCGAATTATTATGATAGCCATTTTCAAAAAAGACTCTCCACATTTACTGACTTTGCATAGATTTAGCAAATTGAAGTAACTTTTGTTTAATTACATTAAAAAACTAAACAAACTAAAAGTATGGATCTATAATCAACACGAAAGTTTTACTTTTACAATCACTCAGAAATCGGGGTAAAAAAGCAAGGAATTTTATACTCAGCTAACTGATTAAACGTAATGCTCTGGTTTAGTGGTGCACGTGGTTCGTAAAAAATGGCAGAGACTTACCAGTCCTTCCAGAGCTGTTCAATGTCAACCATGCCTTGAAATCGCTTTAGAATTCAAGCCTGGGCGTCAGAATTGTGGTTTACATCAGACACTGTGGCAGGTGGATAGAGTACCTAAAGCAATTATTGACTTAATGAGGTTTGATCAATAAAGTTAATATACAAATACGCGCGCGATTGTTAACTCGACAAATGCGACACGCTGCGCTAATTGTGTTTGCGTCAAAATTGGAATAATTCAATAATCCGGTTTATCCTGAAAGAGTCAATTTTTCGCTTCTGATTTTGGGTAGAAGTGAAATGTTACTCTGTTCACCAATCTCGAATTGCCTGAAGTTCGCGGTTTTTTTCTCATTAAGGTTGTCTTCGCGCTTCGGTTGTCCCTCATATAAAGTCTGCACAATATAGTAAATACACGAAATCTTTATTGTCCTTGATTACATTATTATACACTATAAAAATAAGTTTTGAAATAAGAAAAAAAGCGAAATTTGCCTTCTACGTTTTGGCTTAAAATTGTGGTATATGACCCATATTTTACTTGTCAGTGGAACTAACTAGCAATCTCATGCCGTTTGTCTTTTCGATTATGAAGTGCTGCCGGTACTTGCAATAAAAACAGGTGAGTGATTGCTCAGAAATTCATTGCATAATAATCCACTTAATTTTGCCCTGTTTTCTGTGGTCCCTTTCTTTTTAACAAAACCAATGCAGATTCACATCACTGGTGAATCTGGAAACCTATCAACCTATCAAGCAATCAACGACAAATGTAGTAAAAATGTTGGTCCTTGAAGTGTATTATTAGGAATAAAGTTTCTTATTGGTAAGCATTTTCGATCAAGCAAGATTGTATTATCTTAGTACAGTCGGATTTAACTAGGCAACGTAAACTAGCGGAACATGCACCAGCAGTCAAACCTCACGCAAGACTACCTTGAGGTATCTACTGTCGATTGTTCAATACGCCCAGGAACCATCAAAGCCATTAAAGTGACATGATGCCTGATTCCGTATACATTTTTAGGGTCAGTTTTCACAATATTATCGTATTCTGAGGTGACTTTGATAGAGAAGCACATCACTTCATCGATAAATAAACCAGATGAACTTTAACAGTTTGTATTATTTTCAAAAATGAGATTCTTCTTCTCTCTCTACTTCTTCTTCTTCTTCTCTTGCTTAAGACTGTCTTAAAAGCAGCCGATTTTGAAATAAAATTTAGAGCTGAGTTCTTTCCTTACTAAAGGCGCACGGTAAAAATATTATTCCTAGATAATTCTTCACAAATCTTAAAATGCCAAGCTACCCGACCCTTTTACATGCGTATCTTCAAAAATTTACTACAATTACCGCCGAAATGGTCCATAAATCACCGCAAAATGTCTCCTTCAAGTCAATTGGTGTGCATCCTGCAACTGCGAAATATGCAACGCGTATTAGGCCAACCAAATACACCTATTTATTTATCGTCGGTGAGTTAGCCCTTTAAAATCCTCATTCGGCATTTTATAACCTAAAAAGACGACAGCACATCCTCGATTTCATATACAAATCATGTTTTCGTTGTCGCGTGCCGATTTTGACTTAACTAGTACATTGTTTACACTCACCCAAGTGTAAACACAAGTTGAAAAAATTCACGCACCACCACTGCGTACTTTGAAGAACTACCTTTTAGGCATACTGGAGCGGACAGCGGTGCAAATTTATCCAACTGCAGAACTCCGTTACAACTTTCCACTTTGTGGTGAAACTCGTAGCACAGAATCTGAATCTAAAACTTCTGGTAGCCTGAATGTGGATTTATAATTGTACATTTACCTGCTGGGCACACTACCTTCAGGTCGCCATCTGTACTAATCAGTCTAAGCAAAGGAATGATTGCGAGCTGGTATAAAATTCGGGATTTTGACCGTCAAGCGTTTCAGTATTTTTTAATTCACGTGTTAAAAAACAAAAGGTTGATGGAATCGTTTGTAGAAACCTTTTATTAGCAATTCAGAGTAAACGAAGACGTAGTTCTTGATACGTATCAGGCGTCGCTCGCTTTTCGCTCAAACCCTTTTACTTAGAATCCGTCTTTCTCCCTTGTTGGCTAATGTAGGAGAGGAAACAGTTCCAAAATAACGCCACAAAGTTGACCACAAAAAGTCTAGAAAAAAAGGTCTTATATGACTGAACTTGACTGCTACCGGAAATGAATTGGGACGAAAGTGAAGTTGATAAACTGTGTTGCTGGCCAGACCTAGGGATAAAAATAGGTGAGGCATTTCTAATGACTACTGAATGAAAGACGCTGCAAATGGCACACACATGAAACAATTTCTCGAATTTAATTCCATGGACCTCCACGCACGAAAACAAGGTTTAGTTCAAGTTTGCATAAGTAAAAGTGAGCCCAGTAATTATGCTGACAAACAATGAAAACGTTGCCATAAAGTATTTCATACCGTGATTCACTGGGAAGTGAGACCCAAAAGACATTCGTCTTACAAAAGGGACCTCCAGCGTAACTCGGAGGCAAGCGGAGTTTGGCTACTTCGGAGAACTCTGCGCGCTAGAGCTAGAGCTAGGCCGTAATCAGCTGATGTTTGGACAAAGCCGAGACCTGGTATAACATATCTCAAGGTCGCCTTACTTAGTCTTCGCGGAGTATAGACTAATTAACAACGCTAAGCCGGATCCCAATTACGTTAGAGGGCTAGGTTCCACCTTGAGCACCTCCCAGCAAGCCAGTCTGTTGATGTTTCACCATAATAACACGACACAGATTTCGCTTTAAATGACTAACCCTGAAATAACTCATCATCCAGCATTAGCATTCTGAAGAAATACGACTACATATAAAATGAATTTCGAGAGTGGAGATAGTCGTTTTGGATTATTCGACTGTGGCTAGAGTGTATTCCTCTAAAGTAGTCAGTATGCAAGAATAAGTCTCATTAGCGTTAAACGCTACCTCTCGGTTGCATTTTGGTGAAAGACTGATGACAAAATGAGATAAGATACTAACTTGGAGAGACGAGTACACCAAGGTGTTTTTCTAATTTCTCCAAAATCATATGAAATAAGTAAACGAGGATTGCGTCGAGGTTGGCGACAACGTCCAGGTTTAAGGTTTAACCAACCCAATGGTACGTCAAAAAAAACCTGAAACGGTTTCCAGAGAACCAAACCACCGTTGATACAGCCATATTTAAGGTAAAAGCAGGGCGTGGATTTAAATGCTCACACCTAGTTATCATCGACCAATCGCTTATCGAAAGAAGCTAACTGGTCAGTGCAAGATAAGCAAGCGATTTAGCGTCCGAATTCACGGGAATTTCGCATGTACCCTACACAACCAAAAAGTGCCAAGCACTGTTCCCGAAGTGAGTTCAGATAGAGTAAGTACTACATTTCCTCTCATTCCACATCACAAATTCGCCAAGTGATAAAAATTTAACCTACCAAATAATTTGTCTTCACAGCCGAAAAGTATGACGTCGCTAATCCCTGTCTGGCCTCTTCAACCGACCAATTCCGGGTGAACCCGACTAAGCCGATGATAAATCCACAAAGTGCGGGTGCCATCAGTAGCTATGGTGCAAATTTACGGCATCAATCGATATCTACCTGGTCCGTTGCAACCATCTTCAGTGTACGTGTGGCTGACCGTCCCCTGTAAAGCCTGTCCAAGAAACCATACCAAAAGTTGAGCACTGGACCCTTGAAAAAAACAAGATTTCTCGTGAAAACGACAGTAAATTTACCACTGCGATCAAACCAAGAGAACCGAATTTGACGGTTCGAGTTGCATCCCATCGTTCACGTTTTTCGACAAGCATTTGAGCAATAATATCTCCACTTCCCATGATTACACCTGAATATAGAATTTATTAGAAGACCACTGTCTCTGAATACGATTACCTGTTGAGATAGCCTGCGTTCTTACAGGGTACTTCATTAAGAGCTTGGAGTAGCCATTCCAAATCTTTACCAAGGACGACATTTTCAAGATCCTATGCCAAAAGAAAACCAATGTGTGAGGATAGGCTGCTTGAGCAAATAACGAAAATTCACTTCATCAAACGCATTAGAAACTGAGCGAGTCTAGACAATAAAATCACGTCATGTGGATATTCTGAAGGACAAACCGTTAGTAGCACGTTCAAAGTCGGAGTAAGTACACAAAATCCATACCTGTGCTCTAACCGCAGTGTGTAAAAATTTAATAAAGTGTCTGCAGTATTCAGTCATTAATAAGCAATAATTAGGCTGTAGTTAGAGCACTTACGTACTTTCCGATATGATGATAATTTGCAAATGGTCCGATCACATAAACTATTTACGACGATCTACGCAAAGGCTCGCATTGGTTCTGTTTGATGTCTGTGTTTATATACCTAAGGTGACACCGTTAACTGTGTTTACTAGCTACTAATAGGAAGCATTTCGGTCATAAAAGGCATAACGGTAACAGGGACACGTAAACATGTGTAAAAAATTACGGTTTTAAGAATCAAAACGAATGAAAACTGAGCTTTAGTCAGATGTTTAAAATTAACAACTTGTAAGACAAAGTGCAAATTGCAATCACGACCGACTGATGTGAATAGGATATTAACAAGACAGACAAGAACCGATCTGTCGAACTAGCTTCAAATATTCCCCATACAGTGCTTCAATTTCCAAATCGAGATGAAGGTATATCAAAATATAACTGTCCATTATTGCGCGTTTAAGCAAGAATAGTCACAATTACTCTGACGATGTCGCGTTTCCTTCAAAAATTTCAGCCTAGGTTAATTATTTAAACATCGAGTAATATTTTTTAAAAGCATTTACCTGGCGTTAATAGCGAGCACCTTCAGTTACAATGAAACCGACCAGTCTACAAGATCTACCGTCACATAATCAGTTAAATAAGGGATATTAGTTGACGTCAGAAGAACGCGAGATACGCGGCCAAATACAACAAAACTTCAACTGGAACTGATTAATACAAGGGCAGCCGACTTTTAAAATCAAAACTGCTACCCATGCCTAAA